ATTCTTGTGTCACAAATCAAATCACTGTGACTACCACTTCCCCACCCTGGCCACGCTGCCTTTTCCAGGATTCCATTTCATTTCCATAAAAATCGTTTCTGCCTCCAGCGCCTGGAACTGGCTAACAATACATCTAGATGCCTATGAGGTAGGTCATATTAGCATTTCTATTTTATAAACAAGGGCACTCTGACCCAGAGAGCTAAAGTAGCCCCTCCAAAGTCACTGCATTAAGCAAAACCCAGTTTTTCCCTGCTGTGTGTTTCCTTTACTACTCACACAGAACAACACTTCACCTCAGACACTTGGGGTCACCAAACATGTGGAGGGTTTCCCCCACACCAAGCCGTTCTCCACGACACCGGCTGGGTGTCCTGTGATTTAACCCAATTCTGACATGATCTACCTGGAGATAGTATCAGATCCCACAGGTTAAGGGCTCAGTCCCCCAAGACTGCCCCCCACCCCACTTCAGATGCCAGCTGTAAATAGTAGGTCCCCAGGTTACCCGCAACTTCTGTCAGACTTGGCTACAGATCAAAGGTTCCCATGACCCCCTCCTCAGGTTCTATTAATTTGCTGGAGTGGCTCACAGAACTTGGGGACTTATGTTTACAGCTTGTTAAGAGGATATGATAAAGGATACCAATAACAGTCAGATGAACAGGTACACAGGGTGAGGTCTGGGAGGATCCTAAACACAGGAGCTTCTGTTCCTGTGGGGTTGAGGTGCGTCACCCCAGTCAGTATGTGATGTGTTCGCCAACCTGGAAGCTCCCCAAACCCCTTGCTATTGGGATTTTTATGGAGGCTGCTTCTCATTGTCATGATTAATCATTAACTCCATTTCCTAGATCCTCTCCCTTTGCTAGACAATGGGAGGTTGGGGTCAAAAATTCTAAGCCTCTAATCATGGCTTGATCTTTCTGGGGACCAGCCCCCAGCCAGGAGCCCATCCAGAGTCATCTTATTAGAGCAAAAGATGTTCCTCATGCTCTTAGCACTTAAAAAATTACAAGGGTTTTAGGATCCTTGTGTCAGGAACCAGGGGCAGTGGCCAATATATATATTTTCTATGATCTCATAGCCACGCAACTACTGGATGTTGAAGGTGGGATTTAAGTTCACGTGCGTGGCTCTCACATGCCCTGCTCACCAGGTGCCCAGGGCAGGGACGTGTCTTGGTCTCATGTGGAAGCACACATAGACAGTTGATTGCACAATTCTTTCCTGCCCGGCTTTGACATCAGAACTCCCTTTCCTGTTGCCCATCACTCATATCCAGGAATAAAAACTGCTTGAAAGGCTTGTCCAACAATGCAGCCTTAACAGGCCACCTGCTCAGGACACAGAAAGTACAGGCAGGGAACACCTGCCCTGGAAATACTGGAGCTTCTGTTGACTGAAACGTGCGAACAGAAAAGCTGTCCTTGGGTCCAGGGACATTCTGAGCTGAGACTGGTGTTATCAGCCATATCCTGCAGAGCTGGAAGTGGGAGAACCCGGGTGGTGAGATGCATCTCCCAGGCCAACTGGGACCCTCTTGGTCATAGTGACAGTCAGTCACTGACAAATATTGTTCCGTGAAGGGTTTGGAGGAGCCCGGGGTGTTCTGCCAAATGGGTAATTGGATTCCCATTGAACGGAGTAGCGATGGCTTGGCTCACCCCACTTTGAGCCAAGGGTGGTGGTCACTGGCTAAACCATGCAGAAAAGTCAAACCTGCAAGGCATTTTTACCCCTGTGTGTGTGTGTGTGTGTGTGTGCACTGAATCATATCATGGAAAGACTGCTCATTTCATGTAAGAATTTCTCACAAGATTCTCCAAAACCTTGATTATCCCCTGGGGTACTTTGAATAGAATTTCGGTTACAAAATCAATTTGGGTTGAGTCACCTACAGACTGTCAATAGTATGCATACTGGGTGGACTTCCCCCTTCTGTCCCTCGTCTTTCCTCTCCCTGTCTCACTTCCTCCCTTCCTTTTATTTAACAAACTTTAGTTGAGCATCAGTTGTGGGCCAGATACTGTGCTGGGTGTTAGGCAGTTGGAGATAAAGAAGACAGTCTTCACTGGATGGGGATGGGTGGGCATCTACAGCCATGGTTTTCAAGCAGGACTGATCCCCCACCCCCCACACTGGGGAAAGTCCGGAGGCCTCTTTGGCCCTCCCAACTGGGGAGGGGGCGCTACTGACCTCTAGTGGGTGGAGGCCAGGGATGCTGCTCACCATCCTGCAATGCCCAGGACAGTCCCCCACACGAACAATCATCTGGCCTAAAATGTCAGTGGTGCTGAAGTTGAGAAATTGGATCTACGATCCAGAAGAAAGAATTGGACTGCATCGTGTTCAGCCCTGGCTCTGACTGTTGCTGGCAGAAGGCCTTGAGCGAGTCCCTTGACTTCTTTGAGTCTGTTTCCCATCTGTCAGAAGGGATGAAAATGGAATGACTGAAGGGAGTTTGGGTATGAATCATGCCCTTTGTTACCTAGTGCCCAAGAAACAATAGCCACTTGGCTTCTCTAAGCCCAGGCTTTCATGGACTAAAAGCTACCAGTGGGCCCTGGTGAAAGTGAACTCTCCAGATATCATTTATTCCAAGACGATGCCCAAGGGACTGCCATGCTCTTTTCCCTTCCTGGCCTCACTGCAACCTGTAGTTATACACGGATTTGTATACCTCATGGTTTAATGCCCCTGCCTTCCGGTAGACCATAAACTCTATGAGAGCAGGGACTGTGTCTCTGTTCTTCCTTCCTGTATTCACAGCACCCAGCAGCGACTGGCCATAGGGTATGTATTCAGTAATGGAGCCAGACTGCCTCAGTTGAAATCCTGGCTTCTCCATTCATTAGCTGTGTGACCTTGGGCAAGTTATTGAACCTTTCTGTGCCTTATTTTCCTCCTCTGTAAAGTGGGACTAGTATCTCCCACCAAGGGTGTGGAGAGGGTTAAATAAGCAACTATTAACCAGTCGAGAGCCTCGCACCTGGTTAGTGCTTATGAGGGTTCATGATGACCACCATTACTTAGTGATTGTCCTAAATGTTAAGTAATAACGCTGCTCTGTTCCGCTATATGGCGACACAGCGCACAGGCACAGGCCTGCCTCTGCCTTCGGGGAGCATTTGTTTTTGTGAATCATTTGGAGAAAGATCTGAGTTTGTAGAGAGGCCGGCAGCTCACCTAAGCAGAAAAGTAGAAGCCAAAGTGATTTCTTGCTGGAGGCTCACAGGGGCCCCCTGGGTCACCAAACAGCCTTTCTCTCTCGCCTGGAAGAAATGAAAATTGATTTGAAGCTTGTCCCATCTGAAAAGGTCTGTTGGTAGCCAGCACTGGTGCATATTGTCAAGGATGCTTTGGGTTTCTGGCCCAGGGAGGAAGGGATTCACGACGATTCGCTTTCCCAGGGAGCGAGACCGACCCAGCGGAGACACAGAATGAGGTCCCAGGGGCCTGCTGGGCTGGCTGCCTCCCTGAGGAGCAGCAAGAGAGGAAAATTGAAGGGCTGCTAGGAACTAATAAACGAGGAGAGGAGACCCATTGAGAACAAGTTCAGGGGCTGAGGGGGGCTGGGAATACTGTGCAGAGAGGATAGGATCAGAGATGGCCCAGGACAGTGGGACAACAACAACAACATTGATAATAATACTTCCCACTGAGTGCCTACCATGTGCCCACATTCACACCCCTGATGACCCTATGAGGCCACCTAGCCCGCGTGTGTCAGGCCTCATCGCCCCGTGGATGATAAAATAAGTCACACTTTCTGTATTCATTCATACATCCTTTATACATCCAACAAACGTTTACTGGGCACCCAGCATATGGCAGGCACTGTTCTAGGTACTGGGGACCTAGCTGAAGAGCAGACAGACCAGAAGTCCACACTCTGCATTCTTGAAGGCTATGGGTTCACGGATGCTCACAAGTAAGTCCATCTGCTTTATCAGACGAGGAGTGCTGGAAGAAAGAGAAAGCCTGTGATGGGGGTGGCCACGGTGGGGGTAGGATGAGCTTGCATTGTGAAGAAGTGTGGTCAGGAAAAGCCTCCCTTGGAAAGGTGACAGTTGAGCAAAGACCTGAAAAAGGCAATTATTTGGGTTTCTGTGGCAATTCCAATATTTGTGGTTGGCGGCTTCCCCACACCACCACATGACTCTCAGACACCAGGAGCGTATCTGAGAATTCAACTTAATTCTGACACTGTCTACCAGGGGTAGCATCAGATCCCACAGGCTAAAGCTTCAGTCCTACGAGACTACAAGGAAGAGATGCATAGGGCAAGGTATTGGGGAGAAGGTGTGGAGTTTCCATGCTCTTTCCAGGCATGCTACTCTCCCCAAATCTCCATGTGTTCCCCAACCCGGAAGTTCTCTGAACCCTCTCCTTTTGGATTTTTACGGAGGCCTCCCTACATAAGCACGATTGATCCATGTGTTGGCCATTGGCGATTGATTGATTCAAACTTCAGCCCCTCTCTGCTTGCGGGAGGTCATGGGTGGGACTGAATTTTCTAACCCTTTAATCACATGGTTGGTTCTCCTGGCAACCAGCCTCCATCCTTAGGTGGGGGGAGAGATGCAAAAGCCACTTCATTAACGTAACAAAAGCGCCTGTATCACTCTCATTACTTAGGAAATTCCAAGGGTTTTAGGAGCTCTGTGCTAGAAATGATGGAAGAGCAAATATATATTTCTTATTATAAATTACAATATCACAGGCAAAAGGTGAGCCATGTGCAAATTTTGGAGAAGAGAAGAATAGCAGGTGCAAAGGCCCTGTGGTATGTCTGAAGACTAGAAAGGAGCATAGTGAATGAGGGGGAGAGTAATGGTAGGTGGGAGCAGAAAAGGCACAGGTGTTGGATCATGTGGGCCTCATGGCCATTGTAAAGACTCTGGTTTTTATTCTGAATGAAATGATCCACTGCAGAATCTGGAGCTGAGAAGTCATTCTATCTGACTTAGGTTTTAACAGATTTCTGTTTGTTTTAGGTTTTAACAGATCCTGTTAATACTAACAGCCAAGGTTCACTGAGCACTTGCCGTATTCCGGGAACCATGCTAAGGGCTTTAGGAATCATTACCTCAGTAAATCCTCAAAAACAAAGTGAAATACAAAGCCCAGATGGTAAGTGCTATTATTATTTTCTATTATTATTACCATTTTATAGAAGATGAAATTTACTTAACTCAGAAAAGTTGAGTAAATAAAGTCCAAAGTCACAGAGGTCCTAGACGGGGGAGGCTGAACCCAGGTTTGCGGGCCCTCCCTTTTGTTATACTGACGGGATGCTGACCTTGGAGTCAACTAGGTTTATGTCAGAGCTCCAGCCCATCTTTTTTTTTTTTTTTAAGATTTTATTTATTTATTTGAGAGAGAGAGACAGAGAGAGCACAAGCAGGGGGAGGGGCAGAGGCAGAGGAAGAGGGACAAGCAGGCTCCCCACTCACCGGGGAGTCGGACGTGGGGCTCCATCCCAGGACCCTGAGATCATGACCTGAGCCAAAGGCAGACGCTTAACCTGCTAAACCACCCAGGCGCCCCACAAAGGAGGTGTCTTGATAAAATAACTCAAGGCAGAGGAAGAGAGAAGGACTCCTCTGGATTGCTATGCTAAGAGGGATCCAGTGTGGCTACACCAGAGGCTCAATTACCTTGTATCGGCTCCATCCTGAAGCCAAGCTAGGAGAAGCCATCTTCATGGTGGGGGGTGGGGGGGCATTGGTATTTGCGATAGATGGGAGGCGCCTCTGTTGGTGTGTGGTGAGGGGATGGGCAGAGTACTAACATCATCAGCCTACAGGCCTGAGAGAGAGAGCTCCAAAGAGGTGATGGGGAGATCCAAGAGTCTGCAGTGAAGATCCCATGGCCATTCGGAAGTGGGGGAATGATTTAAATAGAAGTGAACAGCCACCCCATCTCCCCACCCTTCGGGGACCCTGTTCAGGTACAAACGCTTGACTGAAGCATAATGAAAAGGACTGTTCTGTGTGTTTGTTTGGATTCAGGGTATATGCATGATTAGCTCATGGGAAGGTGTTCGATCATGTAGTATATATATCCCTCCCCTTCCGCTCTTAGTAGTGCAATATGCTGGTGCCTGTTGCATCATTTAGGATTTCCATGCGGCTGCGAGAAACAGAGACACAAAAATATTGGCTAGCACACGTTGAAAGATTAGCCCCTTTCACAGAAAAGAAGCCCAGAGGGGAACAGTCCAAACCTGAAGTTCTCCAGGGGCCAGAAAGTAATGTAAACATCTAAAGGGGGCGGTGGTTACCCAGCTTCACCCAGTTGCTTCTAGGAGGCACCACATGCTCTCAATGTTGCCTGATCTTTTGAGCTTTTAAAAGGAGCTTAAATCCTGGATTTGGTATGTGTCATCTGACTCCTAAATGTTAACAACTAATTAAAAATTTTGAAAGCACCAAGGACCTAGTAACACCCAGAAGTGTGACATATTTAATCCAGGGCTGCCAGTCTGTGATGGCTAATCTAGTCAGAACGATATAGAAATTCTTGTGTGTGCATACATCACTATGTGAATACATCAATATTGTGAAAGAGTCCGGAGCTTTCTTACTGAGCTATTCTCAAGCCGTGGGTGCGTGCGCTCTGAGCCCTGGGGATTCAGCAGTGAACGATTGCATTCCCCTCAAAGTTGAGAACTGGAGTCTTGTCCCCAGAGAGGTTCCAGGCTCTGCAGCAGGTTGGAAAAGCAGACCCATGATGAGTGGTCAAAGGGCTTTATTATAGAGCTAGACAGTTGGTGGGGCTGCTCATGTAAATCCATTACCCCTGCATCGGATGCTGAGCCTGAAGTCAACAGGGCTGCCAGTCAGAACATATGAACATGAAATGGGAGACAGCAAGAGCAAAAGAGAACTCATGAAGATGGGCTGGAACCCCCATCTATCTTTCTCTGGGACCCACGTATGGCTCTTGGTGCCTCCAGACTTCAGGGATGCTGTGACCTATAGGAGGACCACATAGCTGCACCCAATCCTGGCCTGGCATTTGGAAAAGTAGAAGAGAAGATCCGGCAGGAGATGGAGGGGCCATAGGCTTGTCTGCTGCCCCCAAGCCCCCAACAAGATGGGCCACCTGATCCATGACCTGGGCGGAAGTTGTGATAGCACCTGAACTTACATTGACCCTCCGACCATAAACGCAGCCGGCTTGCGCTTCATGTTGTTAAGGTTCATGAAAAAAAAAAAATTAAAACCAATCAATTACACAGTAATTACTAAAAGCTTACTGTGCAGTCACCAAAAAGACAGTTTGCAAACCCGGGACACTCAAACCAAAACTTGGAATGAGGTTCAGAGATACATTGTTACCACGCAGCTTATATGGTGTGTGGGCGGTGAGTGTTCGTTCTATACTGTGACCAGGGACAATATTTGAATGTTCTTAAATGAAAAGGAATTGGTTAGTGGTGATCTCCTATCAATCTGGGGGAAATAATTAAGTTTTGCTTTTGATTTTCGGGGGCATAAGCTAGCAGTGACCCAGGTCAAGCTAACCCCACTTGTTTTGCAAAATAAGCTGAATTAAGCTATGCTGGTGTGACTAACTGCTTTGGTCTGCTCAAGGAATTCTCAAGTGTGGTCTCTGTGTTTGACTTTAACAACGTCCACCTTTCGAAGCTCACCCAAATTTCTCTTGTGGCCAACTGGAACGCAGAACCCTACAGGGGAGGTGATTCAGGGAAAAGGTTTGCACTTAACCAAGAAGACACCATACAAAACCACTGCAGACAGGGAAGACAGGGTAACAAACGAAGTGGCAATACTGTGAGAGTTCTGGAAGGGGAAGGGAGAGGGCCTGGGGGCGCTCACCCTACAGAGAGCTGAGGAGTGATGGGGAGGTAGGAGTCAGCCAGGGGAAATGCGTGCAGTGGAAGCAATTAGTGTGTGGAGGAGGGAGGAAAAGAGGGAGGGAGAGGAGGGAGGAAGAGAGAGAAGGGAGGAAGAGAGATAGGAAGGGAGGAGGGAAGGAGGAAGAGGGGGAGAAGAAGAGTAAGAGACAAAGGGAGAAAGAAGAACAGAGACAATGAAAGAAAGAAGTGTAGAGAGAGAGAGAGATTGGAGAGAATTAAGGAATTTACGAAGTGCATGTATTTAGAACATAGAATGGAAGAAGAATGGTATGAAATGGGCTGGAGAAATAAGCCCGGACCAATAACACAGAAACATACACACAGAGATCAACACGTGTGTCTATGTGAAAATATAACGTACACATAGATGTGTGCAAGTCAGCCAGTTAACACATAGTATGCATCCACATCTGTCCATAAGGAGACACAGAAAGATACATATAATTCCCCACTGCTTCCCCTCCTTTCCCCTCACATCCCCAGGAGCAGTGGGGTTAATTCTGGTCAGGTCCTGGCCCTGTTTCTGTCATTGACTTTGCCTGTGGAGGGGTGGTGTGGACACACAGGGGACTGTAGCCATCGCCCGAGTAGTTCGCCCTGTTAGACATCTCTTTTTGTTCTGGAGGTAAAGATGGCCCTTCTGACATGATAGCAAAGTCTGACTGCCAAACCGGGGCTTGGCTTCTGATTCATTTTGCAACTCACTTTACAGTGTTATTAATGAATATAACAGACCATAAAAGCAGGGAGGAAATGAGAGAACAGCATGTCCCCACTGTGAATTTTGGTGAGACGCTCAAAGTGTGTCAGTGTTGTTGGGAGCTGGGGTTTGAAAGCAGAAAGGAACAGAATGGACAAACCCAGGGTCTTCCCTCACACCTTAGCTGTCTATGTCCCCGTGAGTACCTGAGTATGTGTACATGAGAAAGAACCATGTGGATGCATCTCTACAGGTGCCCGTTGTGGGCATATTTGTATCTGAGTATCTGGGAGAGGGAATCTAAAACCCCAGGAGCAAACCCTAAGGTTTCTAAGAAAATACATTTTCTTCTGCACCGCCAGCCCCCCTCCCTTCTGCTTACAGAGGGAAGGAAAACATGATTTCAAAATTTCTGCTAATGCTTAGTGTCAAGATGGAGACCCTGGGTTAGGTGCATCTTTCTTTTCTGAGGATGCACCACCAAGAATTTTGAATAATGCCACAGACGGTCCTGGAGTTGTCACTGATGGAGATCAGGAAAAATATTCATTTGCTTCACAAAATAGAATAAAATTTTGCAGATGTCCCCTGGCACAGGGAAGTTGGAGAAGGATGCAGATCCGGGGAGTGAGAAGGCATAAACAGAAAAGGTATCAGGCAGGGAACTAGGGGGAAGGACAGTCTGTGAGACTTTAAGGAGCTTTAAGAATGGAAATGTTGAGTGTTAACATTTTAGGTTGTTTCCTGTTTCACACTGTGCTGTAATTCACTCCTGATATCACTAAACCTTCCATAAAAGTCTGAGTATTAGTTGAGGTAAAGATTAAGCTGCTGTAACAAAGAATCCCCAAATGCTGTGGATTAAAGAAGACAGAAGTTTCTTATTCGTGAAGCTGTCCTGAGGTGAGTGGTAACTGGAACGTTAGGCTTTGCTCCACACCCTCGCGCAGGGAACCAGCTTCCTTCCCTAGCATTGTCCTTATCTGCATGGTTCAGCTGCATCTGAGCACATCCCTAGGCCTTTGTATAAAAGGGAAGGAAGAAAAAGAACATGGTGCACAATTTTCTTTTAAGCAAATGGGGCGATGCTAAACACATCACTTTTGCTCACGTTCCATTGGTTAAAACTTAGTCACATGGGCCATCTTGTGCCCAGAGGAGGTTGGGAAATGTAGTCCTCAGCTGAGCAGCCACATGCTCAGCTATTGCTATGGAAGAAAGGGAGAATGGAATTTGTTAGAAAACTGACAATAAACTGAGTCTTACCTGGGTTATTGTCATAGTCTCCCACCTGCACTCTGGCTCTCTTCAGTCTATTCTGAAAGCAATAGCCACAAGTCCCGGCAAAACATGTTATTCTCTGCTCAAAAATCTCCAGTGGCCTCCCATATGCTCTGAGTAAAAGCCAAAGTCCTTGGAATTGCTTACTAAGCCCTATATGATTCCCAACCCTCACCCACTTCTAACCTCATCTCCTATCACTCCCTCCAGCCAGACCACCCTCTGTCTTCGTCAAAAATGCTAGGCATGCTCCTACCTCAGGGC